TTTTTTTTTTTTTTTTGTATTTTTAGTAGACGGGGTTTCACCGTGTTAGCCAGGATGGTCTCAATCTCCTGACCTCGTGAACCCGCCTCGGCCTCCCAAAGTGCTGGGATTACAGGCATGAGCCACCGTGCCTGGCCCCTAAACCTGGTTTTAACATCAAAATTACATGGGCTTCAGAATCCGTTTTTTGGTTTGTTTTTTGTTTTGTTTTTTGTTTTTTATATAGGGTCTCACCCTGTCACCAGGCTGGAGTGCCAGAATCTGTCTTTCTAACAAGCGTCTGCTGAGAATTAGTGTAGTCAGTCCTGGTTTAACCTTTTGACAACCAGTACTGTGGACTGGGTCTGCTTTTTTGTACAGCAGCTTATCTAGTTTCTTGTCTGGAATTAACCCCTTTGTGATCTGGGGAGCTAAGAATGGTATGTAGACCTCTACCAGGTGTGTTCTCATTGTGTTTTATTGGTTTGAAAAAAAAAAAAAATGTAGCCCTTAAGTCTTTGGCTGAGGAAGGAACTGGAGGGATGAGGGTTCAAAAGGAAATCTGAGTTTATCCCTGCCTTCATGGTAGTTGGTCTTAATTACATTTTGAATGTCTTTGGGGAATAGGTAAGGTAATAAGGGGAATTTTACTAGGTGGTCACCACCCTCAGGAAGGGCTTAATCCTATTTTGAGTACTCTTGTTGGGCTCCCTCCTGGTCAAGCCCTTTTACCCACCCTAATTTGATTATTTCATTGCACTTCCCTGTAGACTCTGATCCCTTCCTCTCTAAACCTTTGTCATAAGGATAAGTATGCAACTTGCCAGTGTTCAGTAAATCCAACACTGGAGTTGGGTCTGTTAGTAGAAACAGGCTTTATTAATTTTTGCCAGGCTCTGGAATGGAGGGAGTTTCATATCAGACTTGTAGTGGGCTTGATTCAGAAAGAAGGGTGGCTGAGTAGATGGGTGAGCATAGTATGGCCTCTCCCTCTGTGCCAACTTCTCTGTCCCTGCTGCCTCAGTGTACCTGCCAGCCTTTTTGCACCGAAGGTCATTTGTCTGTGATGCCCTTGGAATGGGAGCAGAATTCACCTTGATGTTTTTTCTCCCCTAGATACACATATGAAGATTATAAGAACACTGCAGAATGGCTTCTGTCTCACACTAAGCACCGACCTCAAGTTGCAATAATCTGTGGTTCTGGATTAGGAGGTCTGACTGATAAATTAACTCAGGCCCAGATCTTTGACTACAGTGAAATCCCCAACTTTCCCCAAAGTACAGGTACTGACAAGTGAAAGCGGGGAATGGGACTGAGGGATGTTATTGGAATTCTGTGGGACACAACCAAGGAGGCCAACGTTTCTACTCCTTGACCTAGCATTTCACTGAAGACAAATGTTGTAAGAGAGGAGAAAAGCCCACCGTGAGTCAGAATGACTCAGGAGATTCCTCTAGCAGACATCCCACAAGAGACAGGGCATGTGTGTGTCAGTGGACTGAGACTAAGACTTAGAAGAGGGCCAGGTGACAGGGGCCAAGTAAAGGGCAAGGGTCATTTATTTGGTTTACTTAATTTCTCAAATAACTAACTTCTGTTGGTTTATTTATTAATTTTTAAGATTTCTTTCTTCTTTTCCCTGGAGAGTTAAGAATTTTTTTTAAGACCTGACAGCAGGAAAAGACTTTTAATAGCTATTTTTTTAAACCCTTTGAAACAAGACTGGGAGAGCAGAGGGGGAAGGTGTGGGAAACATTAAGAGAGGGTGTATGAAGGGCATACTTCTTTAAGGGAGATAGTAGTGACGTTGGCTCCATTGGCCACTCCTACCCCCAGTGAGAAGGGCACTGCATTAAACGATAAGGGGGTTAATTTTTTTAAGCTTATCAACATGTTTATTTTTTATACTCCACTTGGGTTTCCTATGTCAACTTTATTACTGTTTTTGTTTCATTTTGGTTTTTTTTGCCTAAGCTCCTCTATCTTTGAGAATTCCTCAGCTCTTCCTCTTGGTTCTGGTCCCTCTCCCATTCCCTAAGGGATAGGTTGACCATCTATTAGAAGAGATTGCCAGATAAGGGAGTGGTAATAATGGCTGTTATGTCTGTGGGGAGTTATCTTTGCGCT